ATTCTGACACACAGCCTGGCTAGGCCTCACCCCCCGATCTCTGCTCACAGGTTTTCAATAGTGATGGGTCGAAACACCCCTCTGTTCAGTTCGCGGTTGAACATTTGAACATAACGAAAGTTCAACCGCAAACTTCAAACAGAAAGGACAATTCACTAAGCGGTATCTTACCACTTCTGAGTATGCAGTAAGATACCGCACAGCTACTAAAAACAGTTATTATTTCAGCAGGGTTCCCTGCTGACAGCTGAATGTAAAAATATATTTTTTTTAAATGCGTGGGGTGCCCCACCCCATTCATACCAAGCCCTTTGGGTCTGTTATGGATTTTGAGGGGAACCCCCACACCAAACATAAAAAAAAAATGGCATCGGGCCTACCCCAAAATCCATAACAGACCCTTATCCGAGCATGCAGCCTGGCAGGTCAGGAAAGGGGGGGATGAGCAAGTAACCCCCCCATCCTGAACCATAACAGGCCACATGCCCTCAACATGGGGGGTTCCTTGGGGCAGGGGGGCTCCCCCCAAAGCACTTTGTCCCCATGTTGATGAGGACAAGTTCCTCTTCCCCGCAACTGTGGCAAGTGGTTGTGGGGGTCTGAGGGCAGGGGGTTTATTGGAATCTGGAAGCCCCCTTTAACAAGGGGGCTCCCTAGACCCTGCCCCCCATGGGAATGATTATGGGGTACCTGGTACCACTACCCATTCACAAAAACAAGTGTAGTGAAAAATTACAAGAGACAGTCTTTGACAAGTTCTTTATTAAAAACAAAAATTTTAAAAATGTCCCCTGAAGTAGATCCAACGTCAATCACGATGCCCGCCGCCACTGCCAACCTTAAAAACATGGGGGGGGTGCTTTGGGACAGGGTGGCTCCCCCCAAAGCACATTGTCTCCATGTTAATGGGGACAAGTTCCTCTTCCCCACAACTGTGGCAAGTGGTTGTGGGGATCTGCGGGTGGGGGGCTTATCAGAACCTGGAAACCCCCTTTAACAAGAGGGCTCCCTAGATTCCACCCACTCCCATGTCAATGATTATGGAGTACATGGTACCGCTACCCATTCACAAAAAAAGTGTAGTGAAAAAATTACAAGAGACAGTCTTTGACAAGTTCTTTATTAAAAACAAAAATGTAAAAAATGTCCCCTGAAGTAGATCCAACATCAATAACGATGTCCGCCTCCACTGCCGACCAGCCAGCGTCGGGAGCGGAGCCTTTTTTTTAAATACTTTTTTTGGGTCGGCGGCAGTGGCGGACATCGTGATTGACATTGGATCTACTGTGGGGGACATTCTTTTAGTTTTTTCTTTTAATAAAGTACTTGTCAAAGACCATGTCCTGTCTTTCTGAACACAACACTTTTTGTTTTGTGTGAATGAGTAGCGAGACCATGTACCCCATACTCATTCACATGGGGGGGCCTGGATCTGGGGGCCCCCTTGTTAAAGGGGGTTTCCAGATTCTGATAAGCCCCCTGCCCGCAGACCCTCACAACCACTGGCCAGAGTTGAGGGGAAGAGGCCCTTGTCCCCATCAACATGGGGACAAAGTGCTTTGGGGGAGAGCCCCCCTGCCCCAAATACCCCCCCATATTGAGGGCATGTGGCCTGGTATGCAGTGATGTATTTTGGTTTTGTGCTGCCCTAGGCAAGACTAAAATTGGGCTCCCCCCAAAGACTAAAATCGGGCGCCCCCCACCATCTGAATTTGTCCCACGCCAGCCATGGTATACCATTTGGTGCCAAATTATGGTACCTAAAAATCTCCCTTGTGGGAGAACAACATCCCTTGTGATATCATGGGCCCTGAAAGTTCCTGTTTATGGAGAGATCTAGGGTCTATTAGACCCCAAATCTCTCCTCTGGCCTCCCAATGCATGCGATCAGACACAGATCATTCTGGTCATTTGCATTGGGGCTGCATGGTAGAGCCTGGTAAAGGCGTCAGTGGCAGGAGGGGGAGGGAGGCCCTTCCGCCTCCTGTAAAAGTAATCCAGCAGCTTGTTAGCTCCATATTACTTTTATTTGTTGAAAAATTAGAGAAAGATAGAGAGAGGAAAAGAGAGAGAGGAAAAGAGAGGGGGGAGAGAGAAAGAGAAGGAGAGATCGAGGAGACGAGGGAGAGAGAGGAGAGAAGAAAGAGAAGGAGAAGAGAGAGAGAGAAAAATAGAGAGGGGGAGGTGAGAGAAAGAGAGGGAGAGGGGGGGAGAGGGGGGGAGAGAAGAGAGGAGGAGAGGAGAGAGGGAGAAGAGAGAGGGGGGAGAGAGAGAGAGAGAGAGAGGGGGGAGGGAGAGAGGGGGAGAAGAGAGACAGGGAGAAGAGAGAAAGAGAGAAAAGAGAGGGAGGGAGGAGGGAGAGAGAGGGGGGGGAGGCAGAGATAGGGGAGGAGACAGAGAGGAGGGGGGGAGAGACAGGATGGAGAAGAGAGAGGGGGGATAAGAGAGAGAGGGGGAAAGAGAGGGGGGAGAAGAGAGGGGGGGAGAAGCGAGGGGGGGGGGGGGGAGAGAGAGGGGGGGAAGAGAGAGAGGGGGGGGAAGAGAGAGAGGGGGGGAAGAGAGAGAGAGAGAGGGGAAGAGAGAGAGAGAGGGGGGAGAAGAGAGAGAGGGGGGGGGAGAAGAGAGAGAGGGGGAGAGAGAAGAAGAAGAAGAGAGGGAGGGATATAGAGAAGAAAGAGAGGGAGGGAGAGAGAGAAGAAGAGAGGGGAATGAGAGAGAGGGAGAGAGAGAAGAAGAGAGGGTAAGAAGAGAGAGAGAGGGGGGAGGGGGAGAGAGAGAGAGGGAAAATCTATTTGACAAGTAATGGAGCACTTATCTGGGGTCCGTGGTGTCTGCGGCTGCACTGATACCTGATATGCAGCGATGGTCTCCTCTCCTGCACCCCCTCTTCACGGTCAGATGACCTCTAGGCTCCGCCCTCCAGCCCTATGCAGTGAATGGAATAGACAGCAAGCTGGCTGCAGAGAGCCCGGGTGGGCGGAGCATAGCTGCGATGGTCGGTCTGGGTCTGTGCTTCCTGCCGGAGCTTAACAAAGTCAGTGGGTTCAGCAGGGAATCAGCGCTCCGGGAAGGCACAGAGAGTGTAAGACAGCTGGCTTGCCTTTAATTCAGGATGGCATAAGCCAAGCCCACCTTCCCCTGCTCAAGACTTGCTGAGCCCGCCCCCCTGCCTAAACCCTGCCTTCCATCTGAGCCTGCCTCCCACCTGAGCCTGCCTCCCGCTCGAGCCATGCCGCCTGAGCCTGCCTCCCACCCGAGCCATGCCAAGCCTGCAATTACTGCTTTTTTTTCTTCACTATAGCTCACAGATTAAGCTGTCACTTTTCCCACAGCTAAAAGAAAGTAACTTTTCTTTTAGTTTATTTCCCTGAGTTAAAAGAAACAATGTTTCCTTTCAGTTTCTTAAAAGAAACAAAGTTTCGGTTAACTCCAGGGAAAGTGACAGCTAAATCTGTGAGCTATAGTGAAGAAAAAAAAAGCCTGCACTTGCATTTAAAAATTGGCACCGACATACACTTCGTATTGCAAAAAAAATTTGTAAACTGAGGGATTATTTTCAATGGATTTTCATTCATAAACCGAACATTACGTTAACTGAGGAGTTCATAAACCGAGGTACACCTGTATTAGTATTTTACACAGTATATATACACACACATACATACAGCATAGTTATAGTGTATTGTCGTTTAGAGCGCATTCACATCTGAGCAATGCAGAATTGTTGGCAGAATTGCACAATTCTTGCCGCAATTCCAAATTGTGCTAAATTGTGTTTAAATACAGAGTGTGCTTTTGGGTGGCATTCATTGTTAATGGCACCCCAAATGCTGTTAGCAGACATTCCTTTTGCTGCACATTTTGTCATTTGACAAATATGCTAGCAACGCACCAAAATGCGCATTACAAAAAACACATAACACTCCATGGCCAAAAAAGGTTCAGTTTGGCTTTTTTGGGCCTTTTTAAATGCACATTTTGGTGCAGTTTTTAACAAACATTTTGCTTTTTTCAACACACATTATTTTAAAAATGTGAGTTGAAATTTTTATGTGCATTTGGTGCTTTTATTAACATTTTTTACCTGCATTTTTGTGTGTGTTCTGGAAACGCATGCAAAATGCATGTCATGTTTGCGGTGCCATTATTTGCTAATGGCACCTAAAAGTGGCTAACAGATGTGTAGTTTGCCAAAATGTGCGTTACAAACCACACCAAAATGCATGTTAAAATAACCTGTGCCAAAATGTGCATTAAAGCATCTAAGGTGTTTTTAGAAAAGCGCCAAAATAAACATGAAAAAAAAAACCAAAATGCATGTTAAAAAAAATACAGCATGTTAAAAAGCGGCAAACTGCACGTAAATGCGATGTGCAGAATTGGATCACATAGATGTAAATACCCATGCAATCCAATTCTAGTGCAGACCAAAATAAGGGTCCTGCACCTTTTTGGTGCGGCTGCAGTGAATTTGAGCCATATAAAATTTGCATGTGATTTGCACAGGAATGCAGTGCGGTTCCTATGCTAATCACATGCGATATACAGCACGGCAGAAGTGTGAGCCCAGGCTTAAACATTAGTTTCACTGTTTAAACTCAGGTGATCTGTAATCACACAATTATCTCAGGAGATCACATGCAGCTCTCCCCCTTCTATACAGATCTCAGCTGTTCTCAGAGGAAAAACTCCTCCCTTCTCCTTCTGAGAACAAGTGTTCTCCGCTTCATAAACAGGGGGAGAGGAGAAGATTTTTCCCTGAGAACTGCAGAGAACTGAAATTAAATAAATTATCTCTGCTTAGCCACTTCCCATCCACCCTATAGCAGAAATACTGTTACAGGGCGGCACTGGTGCACAAAATCACGTGTGTATATATATATATGAATTTGTATTTCCGGGTAGGGCTGTCAATCACCGGCTCCTGGCCAGTGATTTCTCTCTAGTGCCCGGTGATTTCCGATGAACTCCAATGGGGAAGAGAACAGTTTTGCTTACTAACTGTTCTCCTCCCTGTCAGCTCGGGCACACTGCTTTGGATGGCTGTGCACAGCACAGCCATCCAAAGCAGTGTGCTTACAGTGAAGCACACAGACACCGCCCCCTAGTAAAACACTCCCAGCACACAGTTAATCCTTTGTTCGCCCCTCATGTTAGTGCCTTCCTACCCAGTGCCCTTCGTACAGTGTCAGTGCTTTTTTTTTAGCACTGATCACTGTATTGGTGTCACTGGGGGGGTGCCAGTGACACCAAGTCAGTTCTCCCCAGTGTCAGAATGCCTGCCGCAGTCCCGCTATAAATTGCTGATTGCCGCCATTACTAGTTAAAATTAAAAAAAAAAATTCCAGTGTCTATACTGCCATTTGTAAACGCTAAAACTTTAACATAAACCATTTACATTACACGTATTGGGATTTTATTTTAGCAAAGACATGTAACATTTTGACCTAAATTGATGACAAAATAAAATTTTTAAAAAAGTTTTTTTTACTGGACGTGTTTAATAGCAAAAAGTCAAAAATGCGTTTTTCTCAAAATTGTTGGTCTTTTTTTTTTTTTAGCTCAAAAAATAAAAAAAATGCACAAGTGATCAAATACCACCGAAAGAAAGCTCTATTTGTGGGGAAAAAAGGACCCAAATTTAATTTGGGTGCAGCATTGCATGACAACGCAATTGTCAGTTAAAGTAGCGCAGCGCTGTCATGCAAAAAATGGCCTGGTCAGGAAGGGGGGTAAATCCTCAGGAGGGCAAGTGGTTAACACCTAAGTAGGGTCTTTGTAGCAGCTTATCTCCCTTTCCTTTGGTCCATAAATGAAAGCAGTCAACACACATTTGCCCTTTTACCTGATGCGCTTTCAATTAACATCACGTGTGCTGGGATGACTGCACTTCTGTACATGCATGGGAGTGAGGGCAACCAGAGCCAGTCAATCAAGACAACAGAAGAACAGCACTCGGGGAAAGGATATCATAGGGTTGCCACCTCACTACTTTAAAAAACAAACACATATTAATTACACAGGTTCTGGGGCTGATTTTTTGAAAATAAGGCATTGAGTGAGTTTAATTAGCACCTTAATCAGCCCCAGAACATGTGTAATTAATGTGTGTTCGGTTCTAAAGGGATGAGGTGGCAACCCTAGGATGTCAGCTCTGGTGAGGGTCCTCACAGGCGTCAGACCTGAAACAGAGGTAAGTATTTTTTACTTTAGCTCCTAAAAACAGTGCAAATATCATATCTAATATTGTCATATGATAGTGCCGCGCATATACCTCTGTAACATCATATATGAATTAACACATCCAAGCCATGTGATTATGCAACAATGGTGAATACACTGAATACAACTTAAAAGTCCATAATGTGTGCTTGATCCGTGCCTTTATAATTTGTTCACAAAACAGGTGCTCTTTATTGCTTATATCCACATATATTCCTATAGGTGCTCCTCCACCAGAGACATACATATATACTCTCACCTCCTTTTATGACCCAAATTGCATAGGTCAAATACCACCTTTCCCTTTTAACCCGGGTAGGTATACTGTGTAGATGACTTCACTTTCCTCCTCACCCTGCTGCAAACGGTACCGTCTCCTCTTTATCCTACAAATTCTCCACATATGTAAACAGAAACGCTTGCCATAGTGTAGTATATAAATTCTTTAGCGTGATTTATTAAAAAACAAAGTGCACTCCTATGTAACCACTTCAAGTCTGGACACTTTCACCCCTTCCTGTCCAGACCAATTTTCAGGTTTCAGCGCTATCACACTTTGAATGACAATTGCGCAGTCATACAACACTGCACCCCAGGGGCGGACTGACCATTTGAGCACTTGGACACTGCCTGAGGGCCTGGGGTCAGTAGGGGGCCCCATGAAATGCCCCTGGTACCTTTTATAGACTTTTTTAGGTGTGCTTTGAGTGTGGGCAAGGACACAGGGGCCCCATGATCACCTATTGCCCGGGGGCCCCATGAGTTGTCAGTCTGCCCCTGCTGTACCCATATGACTTTTTTAGCAATTTTTTGACACAGATAAAACTTTATTTTGGTGGTATTTATTCACCACTGGGATTGTTATTTTTTGCTATATAAATGAAAAAGTACAGACATTTAAAAAAAAAAAGTGTTTTTCTTATACAATTTTGCAAATAAATAATCTTTCTTCATAAATCTTGGCCAAAATGTATTCATCTATCCCTTTAGTATAAAAAAAAAATAACCCAAATTAGTTTATAACCAAAAATTATAATTTTTTTTTAAAAATGTTGACATTTTTATTTTATTTTTTTATATTATTATTTAAGTTTTTTTTTAACATACTGTCACTCTAGCAGTACAGTGTCATCATAGTGACACTGTACTACTTGTGCGGGGTGATGAAGGTTTTTTTTTTTACATAAAGCCCATAAAGGCTGTAAAAAACAATCATTTCTCCTTTTCTCTGGCTGCATTCTTGCAGCCATTGAGAAATACTGTGTGAGCTGTGATTGGTCACAGCTTGTCACATGGTACAAGGCTGTTGTGAATAGCCTTGCACCATGTGACCTCTGTGATCATTCACAGATTTCACACGTAGTAAGCAATGATGTCAGAAGTGACATCTTGCTTACTAATCTTCATGTGATTACTGATTGGCCAATCAGTGATCACATGAGCAGGACACCACCTCACACGGAGGACACAGCAGGCACCAGATTGTGGTGCTGTGCGTTCCCAGGGAGCGTGCACATGTGGGGAGCGGGGAAGATGTTTATAAACGGCCACCCGCTCCTGCACTGCTCCCGTCCAGCTGTTTATATACATGGGTCGGACAGGAAGTGGTTTTAAAAGTGTCCTGCTGAGACACCACAGTATTATTATTATAGAGGATTTATATAGCGCCAACAGTTTGCTCAGTGCTTTACAATATAAAGGGAGACAATACAGCAACAATACAGTTCAATACAAGAGGGTTAGGAGGGCCCTGCTCCTCGGATCTTACAATCTAGGAGATTAAAAAAAAAATTAGGAGACAGTAAAAAAACCTTGATATAATGTATTTTCAATGTGTTCAGGATGCACTGAAAAACAGTAAAAAATTAACTATTTCAGACATTTTGATAGAAATAGAGAGAGCAGAAGCAGAGAGAGCAGTATGTGTTGAGATGACCTGTTTTTTCTGGTTGTATTCACTATGGATCCCATCATGAGCATAATGTAGTGTGTTCTACCATTTTTTCCTTTATGCAAAACCTGGAAATGACTGCGCTGGTGTACTAGGTCCATTTCAATACATGGAAAACACTTTGCATGCATTTCTGATTATGCAAAAAGGCTTTGGGCAGCATCTGGATATGGAAGAGTTAACCACTAGCCTACAGGGCACTTATACCCCCTTCCTGCCCAGGCCAGTTTTCAGCTTTCAGCACTGTCGCACTTTGAATGACAAACTGCGCGGTCATGCAACACTGTACCCATATGACATTTTTATAATTTTTTTGACACAGATAAAGCTTTCTTTTGGTGGTATTTAATCACCTCTGGGTTTTTTTTTTTTTGCTAAAACTAACCAAAAAACAACTGAAAATTTTTAGTTTCTGTTATAAAATTTTGTAAATAAGTGATTATTCTCTCACTGATGTGCGCTAATGAGGCTGCACTGATGGGCACTGATAGGCGGCACTGATGGGCACTGATGAGGCGGCACTGGTAGGTGGCACTGATAGGCATTGACAGGCATCACTGATGGGCACTGAAAGGCAGCACTCATATATGGCACTGATAGACGGCACTGGCTGGCACTGATAGGCAGCACTGACTGGCACTGATAGGCGGCACTGACTGGCACTGTTAGGTGGCACTGATAGGCAGCACTGACTGGCAATGATATGTGGCATTGATGTGCACTGGTAGGCACTGATATGTGGCATTGATGTGGCACTGATGGGCACTGGCAGGTGGCATTGACAGGCACTGACAGGTGGCATTGATGGGGCTACACTGATGAACAGGGCACTGATCATCAGTGTCCTGATGATCAGTGTACATGTCCCCTCTGAGTAATGCCGATTACCGGCTCTCCTCTCCTCTCCTCTCGAGCTGCCAACGTGACAGCTCGTGAGGAGAGAAATGCCGATAACTGACACTTCCTTATTTACATGCAATTAGCTGTGATTGGACACAGCTGATCACATGACGTCTTCGGCTCTTTCCGTTGATCGGTGTTCCTCTGTGTGCCAGGCACATAGTGCACCACCGATCTCCGTGCTGCGCACCCCCGGTTAGAGTGGGAGGACGTCATATGACCTCCTCCCAGAATGAGAGAACCGCCTTGCACCCGTCATTTCCTTTCTAGATTGTAAGCTCGAAAGACCAGGGCCCTCAATCCCCTCATGTTTTGCATTGTATTGTTGTTGTTCTGTCACATGTTCTATCCCCCTCTGTAATGTACAGCGCTGAGTGAACTATTGGCACTTTATAAATACTGTATAATAATAATAATAATATGGCGGGCGGGAGGCAGTTAAAAAACGTTTCTAAACGCAAACGCTTATAAACGCGGTTAGCCGCGTTCACACGTGTTTACAAGCTACTCCTGATCTACAAATCTACTCCTGAATGCAAGTTTGGTGCGTTCAAAAAAAGACTGTAAACTCAACTGCCTGTAAACGACTGTAAATGACTATGTGTACGGACACAGGAAAACAGGGAGAGTTCGGGGGCTGCTAAAAAAAACGCAGAAAAGCTCCTGAACATCAGTTTATCAGCTGCAGTGTACATGAGCCTTAATTATGATTATGTGCTTTTTCAAGGAAGACATCTTTCTATTTTTGGTCAGCAGAATGTTATGAGAATGAACTAAACAAAAAGGCATTTAGCTGTCATAGCCCCCCCTCATTCTACTGAAAAAAAAGCTATATTTCAGTTTTTGTTCTGCCACAAAACAACCTGCTACCTTGTAGCATTAATTGGATAGCAGATACCAACAATAACACTGAGGCAGCCTAAATCATTATAGACTTGCGCTGACATTTTCCCATTGGAGCTGGCCATAAATCCTTCCTTGAGTGGACTTTTGCAAGAAGTATAAAAAAACAGCATGAGAATCAGAGTCAGCTGCTAGCCATCCTTTGCCAATTAGCTGTGAGTGTGAAGTCTTTAGATACGTCTGACATTACTGAGAAACACTAATTAAATATATGTTTGTGTTCTTAGGTCATTATTTATATATACTGGGAATATTGTGCACTGATGTCATGGCGTATAAAGAAAGAAGTGTCACTGCTTGTCATTTTCAGACAGGTCAGATTTAATGCCTGCAAATACCCTCTGAGGCATTGCAAATGGTCTAGGTAATGTCCTGTGAGATTAGATATTTTTAAAGTAGCGGTCACAATGACCAGACTGTAAGGACAATATCTTGTTAATGATTATATCCTGACACTTTGAGCACAGGCTCCCCTGTGGTACTTAGTTATATATATTAGACAGGTTTTAGCTATGCATACCTAAGCCTATTACAAAGAACAAAATGACCTCAATAAACTGACTGTACAAATACTGTAACATAAAAAAGAACCTTTTATAGGAGCTACAATGAGCATTTTGTACATACCTTTTTTATTAGTTAGCTTAAAGGGTCTATTTAAATTTTAGCAGTGCATTAACATGCCTTCAGTTCCTTATTAATACCATAACAGACCAGTGCCACTCCAAGCCTGCAGTATCAGTCTGCCAGATTTACTCTCTGTATTCAGGTCTGGCAGAGATCGAGCACGTCTCGCTCCAAGATATAATCAAGCGCAGTGTTTCTCAACCTTCTTTCAGTCAAGGCACCCTTTTAAAATTATGCACAATCTCAAGGCCTCCCATTTCAAAATGTGAAAAACTAAACTAATAGTTTTATATAATGCAGCAACATCCCCACATGTGGCACACCCAATGTAAGAGGGGATTTATTCTTCCAAAGCAAATACCTTTGCACACTGGTACTGACTAGTATTCCAATGTTTCTCTTCCTCACCTAGTTAATGTGACCGCAGGGGAGGGGCAAGCAAGAATGCTGTGCAGGCAACCGACATCCTCCTTATCAACCGATGACATCATTGGATGTTAGGACGCCAACGTCTGGAAGGTTGTGATGGTGCACAATGAAAACTTGTGGCTTTGGGTAACTAAAAGGCAGGCTTGATCCACTGACTTGTATACAGTTTTTGGGCAATTTTTAGGCATTTTGCCAAGGCACCCCTGAATAAACCTGTAGGCACCCTGATTGAAAAAGGCTAATATAGCATATAGGTACCGCCATGTGCTGCATTCAACTCCAGTGTAAATGAAGGTAAATGAAAAAAGAGGCTTCAGCTCAAATCCCCACCCATCAGTCACATCCCTCTGACATGGTTCACCCATATTGGGATTAATCCCAAATATCTAATCCAAGGGTTTGTAAACCTCAGGCATTAAAAATGAACAAAGCATATCTCTTTATAGTGTGTACTAGTTTCAATTAAGAGCACTAAGTGTCATGTCTCGCTGCTGCTGCTTTGTTCCTCTGCTAGCAGCATGAATCACTTTTGAAAAGTTTTCCTGACTCCAGGAGATAAAAAGTGAAAGGGGAGGGATCCCCATCACACCTGTGATTGACAGCCTCAGCTGTTCCTGTACGCTGTGTGAAGGGGGGGGTGTCCCTTCCCTCCAATCAGCTTTCAGAGGTCTCCTCTCTGAGCTTTGCAGTGTTTGCTTTGAGCACCCCCTTTTTTCTGGAAGCTTAGTCAAGCTTTATAAATTCTGGACTTTAAACAGATGTAGAGAAGAGAAGACTGCAGATAGATGGATACATCTTATATAGGGTGATTTGTTTCATCTCTGTGTATCACCCAAGGCCAGCTATCTCACTGGGTATGGGTAAAGATTTACAACCACTTTTTAAGCCCAATGTAGTTAAAACATGTCAGAGGAGTGTGACCAATGGGCGAAGGATTTGAACTGAAGCCTATCTTTCATTTATCTTACACTTAACTTAAATGCAGCACAAGCCGCTACCTATATTCTATAAACAGGAGCTTATTAACATGCATGTGTGTTAAGACAACCTATTGAAATTAATGGACTGCCAACACATGCTAACAGGTCTAAAGGTAAGCGTAATTTTGCATTACATAGTTGATGGTAGGTCTAAAGGAGATTGTACAATCAGATTGTATGGTGAGCTGTACAGACTTCCAGGACACACTTCGCTTGTTCATTACTACAGCTCTGCACCACATAGGCTATCTGACCACTCTGCCAAATGAACAATCTATGCAAGATGAAGGTAAGGAAAAAAAAATTGATGCCTGGGTTTTTAGTGAGAATGGCGATCACTGTATTAGATTTGCATGCACATGTAGAGGTGGGTGTGAGCCACCTGGAGTGGGGAAAGCAGTGACGTGGTGTATGTGTTAACCACTTCCACGCCGCCCTATGGCAGAAATGCTGCTACAGGGCGGCACAGGTACACAAAATCACATATATATATGTGACTTTGCAGTTCCGGGTAGAGGGCTACCCTTGCCACCATTCATGGCCTCAGCTGGTCCAGGCCAGTGATTCCCCACCAGCACCTGGCAATCTCTGAGTATTACCGACAGGGGAGTGACCTGTGTATAAACAACACAGATCTCTCCCCTGGCAGCTCCTGCACCTTGCTTTGTATGGCTCTGCATAGCAGAGCCATACAAAGCAGTGTGCTTACAGTGTAAAGCACACACACAGCACACAGTTAGCCCTTTGATCAACCCACAAGTTAACCCCTTCCTGCCTAGTGCCATTAGCACAGTGTCAGTGCTTTTAATTAGCACTGATAACTGTATTGGTGTCACTGGGGATGTCAGTGACACCAAGTCAGTTCCCCCCAGTGTCAGAATGCCTGCCACTGTCCTGCTATAAGTCGCTGGCCATCGCCATTACTAAAAAAAAATTCCAGTATATATACCGCGATTTGTAAACGCTATAACGTTCATGTAAACCAATTAATTTACACGTATTGGGATTTTTTCTTTAGCAAAGACAAGTAGCAGAATACATTTTGGCCTAAATTTATGATGAAATTTGATTTTTAAAATTTTTTTACTGGACATGTTTAATAGCAAAAGTCAAAAACAGTGGGTTTTTTATTTCAAAATTGTCAGCCTGTTTTTGTTTATAGCACAAAAAATAAAAAACACAGATGCGATCAAATACCACTGAAAGAAAGCTCTATTTGTGGGAAAAAAGGACATAAATTTCATTTGGGTGCAGCATTGCATGACCACGCAATTGTCAGTTAAAGTAACGCAGCGCCATATTGCAAAAAATGGCCTGGTCAGAAAGGGGGGTAAATCCTCTGGAGGGCAAGTGGTTAATGAGGTCAGCTGGTGAATTACTTCCTGTGTCTTAGGGGTTTTGCCAAACTAAGGTCAGTCCAGAAAGTAATGGAGAAGTTCTCCATAGATCAAACTGATGCCTAGGTAAGTGCTGGTGTGAGATATTACACAACAATTTATCTTTTTTGCAAAAGAGGAAAATTAATGCTATATTGGTACATAGGAAAGCTGGAATTTTGAAAAAAAAAAGTGGAACTTAGCCTTTAAGATTAAAAAAACTTCTGCCTTTAAAACTACTTGCCGACTGCGCTATAGCCAAATGACAGCTACAGCACGGCCATCCAATTCTGGGAGGGTGTCTACTGACCCACGCTCCCCGCGCACCTGCTGCAGCACGCACATGACACTCTATGTGATCACCGTGTCTTTCGGACACAGCTAGTAACAAATCACGGTAGATGGCCAATCACAGCGACCCTTTACCATGTGATCAGCTGTGTCCAATCACAGCTGATCACAATGTAAACACACTTCCTGGCTATCGGCAATACTTTCCTCATGCTGTGACAGTGTGAGTTAATTACTGCTGATAACCTGCAACTGTGAAAAAGGACATCTACTCTGATAAGTGCAGCCCCAACAGTACCTATCAATGCCAAACAGTGCTCATCAATGCTGTCAGTCAGTGCCTCCTATCATTGCCACCTATCAGTGCTGCCTCATTAATGCTCGTCAGTGCAGCCTATCAGTGCCCATAACTGTAGCCTCATTAGCGCACATCAGTGAAGGAGAAAAATGATCTGTTTGCAAAATTTTGTAATAGAAACTAAGAGAAATGTTTTATTTTCTTCAAAATGTTTGGTCTGTTTTCATTTGTTTAGCAAAAAATAAAAACCCCAGTGGTGAATAAATACTACCAAAAGAAAGCTCTATTTGTATGAACATTTTTTTTAAAATTTTGTTTGGATACAGTGTTGCATGACCGCGCAATTGTCATTCAAATTGCGACAGAGCTGAAAGCTGAAAATTGGCCTGGGCAGGAAAAGGGGTAAAAGTGCCCGTAGACGAAGTGGTTAAAATATTTTTATTGAATGCATAACAACATTTTTTTTTATTTCTGCCTGGAGGTAAGCTTTAATTAGTCATGCTTTAAAAGAAGCAATATAATAAGATATTGAAGATATCTTGGAAAAAACCTGTTAGTCCCAGGATCATGATGCAAAAAGCTGTTTATGTGTTTATTTAGGTATAAAATTAAAAATGATTGCAGTACAGATTACCAATTACCTAATACAAAGTTTATTTGATCATTTCTTAGGGGCACTCATGCGTCACTCTCCCAAGCTGGGCAGTGCAAGTCTAGAGACACACAGCACAGCTCTGCCATGCCCCCCCCACTCCCTCTTCACAGGATTTGACTAGCAAGCCATAGACTCCTGCTGCTGCATGTGACTCCTGTGAGACGAGGAATTCAGTGGAGCGAAGCTGCAGATGCAGAGTGCTTCATCATGAAAAAGTGCAGGTAAGTGCTCAGGGGCAGGAGCTAGAAGAGCTAGTAGAACATTTACCTTAAATTAAAACTATAGGCAAAACTTTTTTTTCATTTTGGATAGAGAAAGGGAGAGTTTTAAATTTTTTTTTTTTTGCCACCTGTGTCCCATGATTTCCCTTCACTTCCAGTCCCATAGCCAAAGAGGAAGTAAGACTAAATCTCTGCAAATTAAGGGAATTTCTTGGTTCCCCCCAGGTCACCAGAACTAGTGTCTCCAATATAAGATATCTCCCCTAGTACTTTTCTGGGGACAACCCAAAATTTGGGGTTTTCTTTTACTTTCACTTTCATTGATAAGGATAAATAGGACAAATGAAGGTGAATCTGTCTAACTGGGACAGCAATAAAAACTGACAGATGTTCTAATCCCTCTGCACTCTATCCAGAAATTAAAAAAAAAATGCCTTTAGTTATACTTACATGCAGGGAATGCATTGAATTAAAAAATAACTTTTACTTTAGAACCACCTAAACCTTTTCGTAAACAATCAATAAAGTCCATGCCAAGTCAACATGTGTGAAGTAACTTGAAAATAACGTTGCAATATTTGGTCAATGATGTCTCCACCATCCCCATACCTTCCCTTATACAGTATAGCTATTCACAGCTTTGGGAGCTGTCACTCGTCTATGAGTACTGCCGGGATTGGTCGTGAGCACCAGGTCCTCAAAGTTTTCTTTTCTGCAAGGTGGTGGGCGGTGGGTATCGCAATTGATGAAGATTTACAAGGGAGTTTGGGGGTGGGGGCTTAATATTCTTCAAACATTAGGGTGTTTATATTTCTAGGTTACAATTTTTTGTGTACGGGTACTATGTACCTTATACTTATTTACATGGTGGGGGCAGTATCTTGGGACCCATTTATTATTAAAGGGGGCTTCCAGGTTTTGATAAGCTCCTCCTGCCCCCAGACCCCAAAATCACTGAACTAGGGTGGAGGGGAAGAGGCCCTTATCCTCTTTAACATGTTGAGGGCATGTGGCCTGCTGTTGTTTAGGAGGGGTGCACACAATTGTCCCATCCTTTTCCTACCCATCTAGGCTACATGCTTGGACTAAGGGTTTGGTTTGGATTTTTAAGGAAACCTCACACATTTCTTTCTTTCTTTATAGCTTGGAGTCACCCTAAAAAGCTGTACTAGACCTTAAGAGTCTGCATTTAATGGAAAGAGGGGGCTCTTCACACATTTTTCCATTCTTGCTGTAAGAAGTGCTAGCAAAAGTGACATTTACAAAGAAAATAATGGTATAGTTTAAATTGCTGGCAAGAGACATTTGATGCCAGTTTAAAAAAAACAGCAGGCTCCTCCAAAGGTGCCCCAAAATACATAGTAGATCATTGAGGTGGACTGTGTGCTGTTTTTTTTTTTTAAAAAATAAGCTGTCAATGAAATGTTATCAAATTCAATGAGATTCAGATTACACATCTGAATTTCTTTGAACCCTGCTCGAACTGAACCCAGGGACTTTTGGCTCACTCATAGTGATAATTTATTACACTAAAAAACATACATTAATTATCAAATGGGCAATCAAAGGGTTAACTGTGTGCCTAGATAGTGTAATGTAACTGCACTGTGTACTGTATCACTAAGGGATGTGCTATGCAGGGAGACAAAAAACGGCACATCTCCACTGTCAGTAGATCTCTCTCCTTTCTCTCGCTCCAATGATTGGAGCTTTACAGGGAGTCTAAAAACGGCACATCCCTGCTGTCAGTAGAGCGACACAGATCTCTCTTCTGTCTCTCGCTCTGAGGATTGGCAGGTCCCTGGCATGAATCATTGGCTGGGACCAAGTTATCGGCATGTAGTGGAGCCAGTGAGACAACTATGTGATTCTGCGCGCAGCCGGCCCGCACTGTACAAGTATATCTACAGTACACAATCACCAAGCAATTAACAAATGTGCAGTATTTACCTTTGATATTTTATCTTGATGGAATGACTTTTATTATCTCATGCGGTATTTCAGAAAAATTAGTCATGTGACCTTCATATAGCATGTAGTAACCTTCAGTGAATTGACCCCATTGTATATTGTGTACATGGTGCAACAACATGTACATAAAGGTAAGAAAGCAAAATTAGAACTAAAACTTTACTAGTCAGGTGGCTGAGTGTCTGAATCCATTAAAGTATCACTTTCCTATAGCCATTTGCGTTCTAAGTTTTAGTGTAATAGCCCCTACGTTTGTGTGCATCATGTGTACGCTATGCAGCTGATTTACCAAAGCCAAAGCATGCTAAATCTGGCACAGCTCTGCATAAAACCAAATCAGCTTTTAAGGCTTTATAGTCAAAGCTTAATTGAACAAGCTGAACTTAGAAGCTGATTGGCTACCATGCACATCTGCACCAGATTCTGAGTGCTCCAGTTTTAGTAAATCCCTCCCAATGTGTTTTTGTGGTATTAGATGTAGAACATGGTTTTAAAGTACATCTTGTTGTCTGAATGGAGCTCACTTGCATTTGTGTTTAAAGGGTAATCAGTTGTGTTTAGTGTTCTCCTGATAGACCTCTGGTACACTTCATGGGCACCCTGCTTGGAGCCATGGGTCAATACTCTGTAAAAGCCCCCGACTGGGAGTGATAAACCTTCTTTACAGTTCAATTGCACCTTTAGCTTTTCTAGGACATAGTGAGAGTGCATATATTTGGCTTTTTTTTTTTTTTTATTTGAAAGCCCTATTTTTTTTTTTTCTTAAGAAAAGTTTTTACCCCAACCTAATTTCCCCTTCTGTACCAGCAGGGTAAAGATAAAGACAGCTGCCCTCTGTGTAAAATGAACATCGTTCCTTCTCCAGCAGTTGCCCTCCAAATAAAATGCTCACATTCCCTGCCTAATGGAGAGCAGTAGTTGCGATGAGTAGGAGGCATACTGGGGCACTAGAGATAGTACTCTGCTCTCACATTGAGGATAGAGGTCCTCATCCATACTCTGCTTCTGAGAAGGGAAAATGGAATGGCCCTGGAGCACTATTAAGCCAAAATAAAAGAGCGACTTTTGAAAAGTTACATTTATATGCACC